AGTTTGAGTTCAGGTCCTCAATAAATGTAAAGCCATGACCTTCATCAAAAACAGGGAATCAGAGAATAGGCTGTAACATTATTAATGTGAGATTCCAAATTGGCTTTTTCATCATGGCATAGGAAAATATTGAGTTTTGAAGTGAAATACAATGCAGAACACGAAGAGTGGTGGCCTCTGCAAGCATCTGGAAACCTGGATCACAATCAAAAGTGAAATAATTCAGCTCTCTCTGTGAGAGTTCAAAGGCAGCCTCAGAAAAAACCCAACCTCAGCTTATCCGGTGAGCTTTGTAACCATCAGAGAAGGTACAGAGTGTCTCCAGATTCAGCACAAACCCCCCTTGTATCTTTTCCAAATGACCGGTTACTGATTGGGAGTGCTCTGCATTACTGGCCAGAGAGAAGAAAAACGTCCTTAGGAACAGTCTCCACAATCATCCCTCACAACAGCACAGACATGCAGAGTTCCACCCATCAGCCCTGGAAAATGTGCAGCTTCCCCTGACCTGCTGGAGGGATGGAAGTGTCTGTGTGATGAGATGCAGAGGCTCCGTCTTGAAACCCTTTTGGATAAGAGGGAAAATGTAAAAAATGTATCTTCTAAAGAAGAGAGGATTGGTATGACAGCTCCTGAATGAATTGGATCCCAGGGTTTACAGTCTATCAGCTCAGCTCTGTGCTTCATATTTGGTGTTTTTCCATCTGTAGGAAAAAGCATTATCATTTAGGATGAACTTTGTCCACTTCATGACAGATAGAATTATTGCACCAGCTACAGATGAAGGGAGATGAGAAGTGGCCTTGATGCATCATTTTCCATGCTCCTGTTTATTCCAAAATCTTCAATAATGGGCTAAAATCTGACAGAGCAGAAAACCACCAGCTGTTGTGAGCTGCTTTTCCAGTTGCACAGCTGCTTAGAGAAGAGAATCTGTCTGATTAAACGGAAGGGATTTCAGAGAGAGCAGCAAAATGTAAGAACTGAACAGGTTTAAGTAAGCAATGACTCTATAACATTAATAAGCCCAACATTGTAAGCACAAAACAGGGGAGGAAATATTGGGCTAAGCCAGTGAAAGCTCTTGGGGAGAAGTGGCAGAAATTCAAAGCACAGAGCTGTAGCTGGGCTTTAAAATGCTTTAGGTAAATAAGGTTAAAAGACTAAGTAGACACTCTTCTTTTGTTATAAACTGTGCTTGGAGTTCAAATATTTGGAAATAAATTTTAAACTAGCCTGCAAAAGTATGTTTCTAAGGCAAAGGAAGAAGAATTGCAGAAGGTTTTGCTTGCTAAGTGAAATGAGAACAAAGGCATGAATGGAAAGGGGCAAGGAGGGCAGAGCCAGTGAGAAATTATCAAAGGAAGAGTCTTGCTTTGTCTCCATTAGTGATAGATTGGATCATCTGCTCCAGCCCATTGTCCCTGCTTTGGAGCTTTTAAAGTGAAGCTGGAGACCTTTTTTAACTTTAATTCCGTGGTTTTCCTGTGTGAGCCCCAGAGGAGACAGGCACAGCTCAGCAGAGCTCTGGGAACCCATGAACATGAAATATTAGCAAGAATTTCATTGTGTTCTGCTGCCTCAGGGCTGTGTGCAGGCTCTGCTAACACAGCACTGGGATTCTGACCCCAAATCTGCTTTGCCAGTGGGCAGAGGGAAATCCAGCAGTAACAACCAGCTGGCAGCCCCCCAGCTTGCCTTGGAAAACAATTAGGCAAGATTGTTTTCTGGTACAGAGCAAGTTTCTTTTGATGTCTCAGAAAATGATTCCTTCTTCATTTGTACACCTGACACAAATCCTGGGAGCAGCCAGGTACCCTGGATACAGATATTTCTGTCTGAGCAGTTCCCTGAAATCAGGACCTGAATTTTCTGGTTTCCAGGTGTAAACGTGGGATCCAAACAACAACGGAGTTGTAAAGGACTGCAGAAGCAAGATGTGAGTTCAGATGTAAATATTTCAGCATCCCTATGCAAATGGGGGCAATTCCTTCATTTCTCCTTGGTGATTCTACCCCAGGGATGCTGAAGTGGGTGCCAGCTCTCTGTGACCTGTGGGCAGAGTAACTCAGAGGAAGGGATCTTGGCCAAGAACACAGAAATAACCATTGACAAATATCTCCAGTGGCTCTAAGCCTGTCTGGGGTCACTGTGAGCTGCCAGCCTGCCACTGGGACTTTGCTCAGCACCCAACACAGGTGAGATTGAAGAGATTTTGCCCAACTTTTAATTACAATCCTGTGCAGCACAACTCTCTGTGCTTTGTGCATACCTTGAGGGAGGTGTAAGGTCTGAGAGTTGTTGTAGAGAGTTGGGAATTAATTACAAAGGACACAGGGTTGGAGTTCCTCTCAAGTACTTGCTCAGCTGTGTAACCTTGGGGCAAATCACTCAACTGCTTTGTGCCCAAGTAAACCCAGCTGTAAAACCATCTTGAAAACCAGATGGTGCACAAAGATTTAAAATGCTCAGGAGAATGATGAGGGATGAGGAAAAAAAATTTTTGAAAGAAGGAATTCTACAGTTCACTGCTGTTGGTATTGATTCCAGCAGAGTTAATCTGGACTAAATCAATAGAACTGAGAGGAGAATTTTCTTTGATATCCAAAAATCATCTCACACTTTCAAACCTTTGTTTTCCCTCTCCCCTCTTGACTTTGTGTCAGTACTTTCTATCTAGAGGGTTAATTTTAAACCTTCAGTAGAATTCATGTTTTCCCCTGGCAGCCTGAAGTTTCTAATTCAGGATCAGGTTCTACATGACTAAACTTTGATCTTGTGCAGGATTATTTTTAGGCACTTAATTCTATAGCATTCTTTTCTCCCTGCTTTTTGTGCTGCCCTTCAGCCTTGCCTCTGGGGCACAGTGAGGTGTCCTGGGGTTCAACTGCTGCACCCCAAATAAAAATACTGAGCTTTATTGCCTTCTCTAGATGCTTAGTCCTGGCTTAAAACCAGTATTTGTACTCCTGGTCAATGAACAAAGGAAATACTGAAGTTTCTGTAGCAGAATAAATGATTGCCACATGTTAGTACCTAAGAGAAGACTTCAATGTTTCAATCTTTTTTGGCTTTAGCCAAAATGTAGATTTCCCCCCCCCCCCACCACAGGAATGTGGGAATACTTCTTTTCATAAGGAGTATTTCCTTACATAGGGAATATTTCCAAAGCAGGGTGTCTTAGGTTGTAAGAAGGGAAAACAATAAATTTTAGTGTAAATAAGGAATATTTAAATATTTGACACATAGAGAAGCCATGTTATTCACTACTCAGGAAGACCTTGCAGGTTTTTATTAATCACTAATGAAACTAAAATACTGACAGGTTTGAATTTTGGTGACATTTCTTCCTAAATTAGAAATTATTTGAGCTGAAGGAAGTTGCAAACAAATCAATGTCAGCAAAATGGCTTCAGCAAATTTAGCCCTTGTTATGCAGTACTGGAGTGGCAAAATTGTTAATTGCTATTCAAAACTGGTGATCATTTTTCCAACACAAAAATACTTCCATTTCTGTGTGTCTTGCAAACTGTTCTATTTCTTGTTATTGAAACTTTAGACTCAATATTTGAGCCATTGAATCTCTAGATTCAATATTTGAGTTATTGAATTTCACATTCAATATTTGAGCAGTGCTATTATTAATTTAAAATATTGAAATTCCATGCCATAAATACCAGAGTGCCTGGGATGATTAATGACACTGCTCAAACACCAAATTTTTAATTAAGCATAAGCCAAAGTAAAAATTCCCTGATATAATTTGAGTCCCTTTTTGGATGATCCAACTTTTCCCCTCCTAATACCACTTGAAACTGAATTTAAAACCAGGTGCAGAGCATTTGTGGGAATGAAAAACTCTTAAATGAATCAGAACACAAGACATTCTCAGATGAGCAGCTGTGGAAAACAATAAATAAAACAGAAAGTGAGCTGGAGATAAGGCAAATCCAGGTGATAACATCATGGCTAGAGCTGTCTAATATAGGGAAATGAAAAATACAAAGTACATTTTAAAGCCCTGAGCTATACAAATACTCATCAGACTCCATTTGCATTTTTGCTGCTCCTAATGAGGAAAAGGTTGATTTAGCTCAGTCTTGCCAGATGAAGCTGCAGCTGGGAGTGTTTTTCCATATCCATCAAACTCGGGTTTCCCTCCAGTGTCCCTGAGTATAAATCACTGAGCTTGACTTCATTTCATGGTCCTTGAATTGCTCATCTGCTCTCTTTGAAGGAGAGGTTGGAGCATCATGAATTTTTCATGCTCCAGGCCTGTTGCTCCCCACCTCAGTGAGAACAGAGTGCTGGGAGCTCCCTGGGCTGGTGTTGGTTCCATGAATCAGTTCCTGGGATGCAGCCCCAAATCCTTGGACGTGCTGAGGCACAACCAGACCCTGCCACTGGGATTTGTCCTGACAGGCTGGGATGCTCTGGGAGCTGGTCAGGGACGCCTGGGTTTAACAACAAACACTCAAACAATAAAATAATGAATTCCCAAAGCCAAACATTTCAGGCATCATAAAACCTTTTCTTATTAAAAAACCCCTGGATAACCTAATGGTGTAAATATGTTTTGTGTGAAGGCTTTGTTTCTTTAAAAGTGTTTTGAACTTGAAGTCTAACTAGTTTGGGGGAAAAAATTAAGAGTTTTAGGTGACCTCCTTGCTCTTGATCAGTGAAGCCCATTTTTTGGCAGGTTTTAAACCACTCTGATCTATTTTTCCCTTTTGCCATGTAAGAAACCTTCAGAAAAATGAGAAATGCCATGGAGAAACTACTGGACATTGTGACATTGGTAAATACAGAATGCTGCCCCAAATTTTGTCCAAATAATCACTTTCAGAAGCAGTGACTGTGCTTTTAAACAAAAATAATCTGAAAAAATAGTGATTTTTAAAAAAATCTCCCTTTAAAGAGACACTGTAAGGCTTAAGTTTGCATATGAACAAATCTCTCCCCATTGCTCAGAACTTTTCATTTCAATTAATAATTTTCACTATTTATGCTCTTCATTTAAATGAATTAATTCATTTATTTTCCAGTCTTGCACTGAAGCAGATCTGGTCCATTTTCCTTGCTCAGTAGAGCTCCCATCACTCTCCTCATGCCCTGCTGTAGTTCACTGCCTGTGTTTGGGAACACAACCATCCCCAAGGGAGGTCACATCTCTTAAAAGCAGGATTTCATTATTCCCATTGACAAAACCCACTTTTTAATACCAAGATATTTGACTGCACCCCTTTCCAAAAAGAAATAAAAAGATAGAATGAATCTGGGACGATTTATTAAACCACAGTTTGGAAATCCTTGCTCCAGAGAGCAAATTCTGTGAGTTCCTCTGCTGAATGAGCAGGGGCTTTTTGAGGAGGATGTGAAGACCAAATGAAAGAGTCTCTCACAGGAATGAGGGTCTCTCACAGGAATGAGAGTCTCTCACACATCCTGATGGCTGAACTGATGCCCCTTTTTCCCAGCTTGTTGCCCTTTTACCCAGGGCTCCAGAACACAATCCCTGAGCAGGAACATCAAAGCGCGGTGGCAGATTTGCCTTTGGAAGTCAGAGCCTGCTTCAAACGCCGCTTCAAGTCCTGCATGTTGGGCGACTTGGGCCTCACCAGGTGGAGACCTCTCCTCTTCTCCCCGTTGCAGCTGGAGCTGCTCCTGCTGAGCTCCTGGCACAGCTGCTGGAAGGCCTCGAGCACGCCCTCGCAGCTCTCCCGCGCCGACACCTCGCAGTAGGTGCCGCCCAGCTCGGCGGCCAGCTGCAGCCCCTCCTTGGAGGACACCTGCCTGGCCCTCAGCAGGTCCCCCTTGTTGGCCATGAGCAGCAGGGGGATGTTGGCGTTGGGGTGGATCCTGCGGATGTGCTGGTGCAGCGGGCGCAGCAGGCGGAAGCTCTCGTAGTCCGTGATGGAGAAGACGAAGACGAAGCCGTCGGCCCAGTAGATGGAGCGGTTTATCTGCTCCTGGCAGCAGATGCTGTCCGTGTCATCCTGCAAAACAGCAACATGGCATGTGCACATCAGGGATCAGCCCCACACAGAGCTGGATTTGAGCACGAGACTGTTTTCCCAGAAACCTCTCTGGAGGTACCAGGGAAATTCCTGGTGTGCTAGCTTGTCCAGCCTGGAGAAATGTAGGGGGACAGAATATAAGAAAATAAAAATAGTGTAGAAAGTAATCTCACCCCTAAGGAGTTGCCCGAGCCATCCCACTCCTTTGCCACAGAGACAGGCTCACTCAATAAGTAGCTTGCTTGGGTTTTGGGATGGCAAACTTAAATTCATTTTCCTTGGTTTATCTTGCTAGACCATGATGCAGAAGGTACAAGGGTTGATCTTTGCTGTTTATAGCTCAGTTTATTCATTATTATTTCATTTTTCCCTTATGGTATGTAGTCTCTATCACACCAATGGTGTCTTTACTATTCCTATACTGGGACTAGTCAATGCTTTAGTTGAGTGTTGAGTGGGCCAATTATCAAAGATTAGGAGCAGGCCTGACTTTAACAGGCCACAGCTGTGACCAGTGAGAAGAAGATGCTATAGAAGAGTGGGGTGGTGTTGAGAAGGGAGCTGGAGTCAGTTGGCTGCTTTGTGAAAGAGTCAGTGCTCTGAGGAGATGCCCACGAGAAACACCAAGAAGGTATGAAACCTTTGTGATAAGGAGACAACAGTATGGAACCCCTGTGATAAGATGACAACAGAGAAAAGGAGATTCTGGGGTGACCTGGTTGTCACCGTTGAGCCAGAAATGACACAAATTCACTCAAAGGCTGGTTTGCAGGAGAAGAGCATTTAATATGAAAAATCCTCTCTTTTATAGATAGCAAATCAAGTAGAATGTGTCAAATCTAACTAACAAAAATATCTTTCTCACAAACAGTCCTTGAGAAGAAGAGAAAAACAGAGTAGGAAAACAGCACCTGCAGGTTGTTTATACTAACAAGTTATCATTGTTTCTACGACTCCCTAAACAGTCTCACAAGCTCACTGTGGGAATACAAACCCCATTTTCTCACACTCTGACCAGGCTATTGCATCCATACCTGGTCACTGTAGCCAAGTGTGGGCCAGGCTCTGCTCCCAGGGACAGGACAAGAGGAAACACCTCAAGCTGCACCAGGGGAGGTTTAGGGTGGATATCAGGGGGAGTTTCTCCATGGAAAGGGTGGTCAGGCATTGGCAGGGACTGCCCAGGGAGGTTTGGAGTCCCCATCCCTGGAGGTGTCCAAGGAATGACTGGATGTGGCATTCAGTGCAAGGTGGGGATCAATCATGGGTTTGACTCATTTCTCCTTTTCCAACCTCACTGATTCCATGATTCTCTCATCCCATACTGCAGGAAAGCAGTAATGTGGAGTGGAGAGGGGTCAGAGCAAATTGTTTGAAGAGAAAAGCCAAAATACTGCTTTGGAAAGTTACTTCTGAATTCTCTTGTACCCAATCAGTCAGAAATTCACTCTCTTATTGTGGAAAAAAACTGTGATAGGCACAGTAAGAGCATTAAAAATCCATCAGGTTTGTCACAGCGTGACAAGTGAACAGCTGTCCCCCCAGGTGACTTTTAGGGCTTTTTCCAATTCTTTATTCAGTGTCGCCATGGACAGAGGCTCTCACTAACTCTGTTTGGTGAAGCCTGCCAGGTTTCCCTGCCTTGCAGGTCTCCACATAGTCAGAGGCAAAGTTCTTTTGGAAAAAAGCAATTTGTTATCAAGAACCAATGACTGGAACTGAAAATCAGCTAAAGTCTCATTGGTAATTAGTGGAGCAGTGATGGTTTATACCATGTTTTTCTGGTCCCACATTTCTTGAGTCCATCACCCCTCCTATTTAGAGCCCCAACAACACCAGCTCTGGGACTACAAAGCTGAGTGCAGCACTGTGGGCCTGAAAAGAGATCAGCTCACTTGTCAGGATGATGCTATTTCCAGCTAATCCTCTCCTCTTTGTTACCCTGCAGGGACAGGGATAGCCCAGCCAGAGAGGGAGATCCCTGCTGCAGTCTGCTTGCTTTGGAAAAGCTGTAACTCCTGTCAATGTTACATTTCTGCAATGTTGTAATTTTTAAAATATCCTTTATCCTATCCTTTTAAAATATCCTTTATTAATATTTTATATAACAAGCATATTCTGTGTACAGCTCTTCATGAAGCTGGTAGAAATTGTGTATTTTAAGGGGAGTTCCACATCAAAAATAGAGAGCTCAATTTTTTATTGTTGTTGCTAAATTCTATCCAAGAAATTTTCATCAAACTTCAGTAAGACTGATAGAAAACACATTCCATTATCTATAATTTATAGAATGCATATCTGCCATTCACATTAATTCTAACAGAACTTAGTGCTCAGCACTCTCCCCGAACAGAGCACTTTTATTTAGACCTAAACATGAATGATAAAGCCTAACTTCAGATGGCAGAGGTAGCAAAGAATGAGTAAAACTGATCAGTTTTCTCCTGGTAGATCAGACAGTAAAAGAAGAACTACTGACAAGCTCTTCTGTGAGGAGGAGGAAGCAGAATTTCTGAAGGGTCAGAGAGTAAATTAGGCTCAAAGCTTTCCCCAGGAGCTCTGCCAGCCAAGTGCCCTTTGTAAATATTTCACTTTTGCCCTCAGAGACACTGGCTCATCACACCTTGAGGTTCTTTGTCTTTGCCAGCTCACAGCTAAATCCTGTGAGCAGTGACATTGGTTATCAGCTGCTCTTGTCCCTCCTCCCCAAACCCCTCACACCCCAGAGCAGAATGATGCAGAGGGATCCTCCCCACAGCCTTGTTGGGGGGGTTAATGAGAGTGAACTCCAGCCAGGCTGGGGCAGGCTGTGGGAAGAAGGGCAATTTGCACTGTTGGGGTCTGGGTTGCAGCCAGTCTGGGGATAATTAGCCACTCTCCATGTCCTGGAAGCCTTTTCACCAGCAAAACCCTTTCATGGCAAAAAAAAACCCAACAAAACTAATTGCACTGGCAAGCTTTGAAAATGGGTTTGGAGAAGGTGGACATTCAGAGAGCCCTAAGAGCAGAAATTCTCCCTCACTGCAGCTAGGCCCACCCAGCAGTGAGATGGATGGATGGATGGATAATCCCAAGTGGAATGCTTTATTCAGGAAATCAAAGGTTAGTGGGCTACTTTTTAAATGGAAATCTCTGCTCCAGAATGAATTTTGAAACACACAGGCTTTTGCAGTGTATAGGCCAAGCAGCAATGAATCACCCAACAAAACCACTCATCTGCTTCTGTTTCTCTCTTACAATTTCACATTTCTGGGGGCTTGAATCCTCAGGGTTTCCACATGATTTCCTCCTGGAACACAGCACTCAGCCTGCAGAGTGCAGGAAACTGTTTTTCTTAAGGATTTAAAAAAAAAAATCCAGCCTTTTCTCAGTCTTAACTTGTTCTGTCACAGTCCCTCCAATTATTGCAGATTTATCATTTGAAGCAAACAGACACAGGGGGAGATAAGGGTGTCTGTGGGAGATCTTGGAACAGCACAGACCTTGGACTGGGACAAAGAAAATGAAACTCTTTCCTAACTAATTTAAATAATTTCTAACTAAGCAATATCAGCTGTAGGCTTGGCTAAATTTTGTGCAGCTCTGGAGTCAATGAACTTCAATTTATATTTGTAGGACACAGCTTTAATTTAAACAGGAAAATAGCATCTCTGTGGTCTGAAAACAGGAGTTAAATTATCCCACGGCACAGAAGAGAGCGGGGATTCCCTTTGTTAAGTGTTTATCAGGCAACCCCAGTGGTGCCCAATCCCCCCCAGCTCCTCTCTGCAGGGCAAGCTGGCCAGGCCTTTGTGCTGACAAATCCCACTTGAATATTTGGAGAGCTTCCACTGCAGCTTTTGTTTGCCTGTGAGTGTGCAGAGCAGATGAGGGCTCCTGCCCTCTGCTCTGTGCACCCTGCACAGCAGGGTGGGATTGCATCAAAGCTTCCCCTTCTACCCACTTCCAGGCAGAGGAGCTGGAAATGGAACTTTGGAAATTGGAGCTTTGCTTATTCCCTTGTGGGAATTCAGGGTGGAAGAGTCCCGTGGCACAGAGATGCACAGGGGGCTCTGGGCAGGTAAAACAAGGGTGCAGAGCTGTCCAGGGCAGCCTGGCACATGAGGAGAGAGGGTGGTGTTCCCATGCCAACATATTGGCCAAATCTAGTCTGAGGTTAAGGCCACACCTAGAAGTTTAAGCTTGGTGCTGCAATGAAAATACCTGATTTAATAATGGAATCTCTGCTATTCTGTAGGAATTATTACTCATGAGACTTCCAGCGTTCATGTAACCCCAAATTTCACTACATTTCCTGTTGCTTTGACACTATTTTCATCCTCTTGTTCTGCATGTGAAGCAGATCTTCAAGGAGAGACAGTATTAATCCTGCTTGGAAAAATATTCCTAGAAAGAGGTTCATGGTAGAATATTAAATCTAAAATATAATAGAATCATCAAATCCTTAAGATTGGAAAAGGTCTTTAATATCGCAATAGAATTATAGAATCATTAAGATTGGAAAAAGTCTTTAATATCATCAAGTCCAACTGTCTAGAACACTGTTAGAAAAAGGAGTGTGATAAATGCTAACACCTTAAAAAAATAATTAATTACATTTAAAACCAGGGTAAGGAAAGCAGGGCAAAGCATCACAGCTGGAAATGGCAGCTGCTGTGAAGCCTGGGCCCTTGGAAACAAACACTTCTCCAAATCTGAGAGACTTTGGGTGGGGAGGAGGAGACTCTGGGCAGGTGAGTTTCCTACCATGCAGGGACAGAAACCACTTGACAGAAAATAAAACAATCAGCTGTTGGCAGGAGGGAAGCAGATTGTGATTTTACTGCTGTTTAGTAATGTGTTGGAAATAAAATTGGTTTAATTTTGGCTCACTCCTGAGGAGCCTGATTTAACACCTTCAAGAGCTCATTTTGGTGCAGTTTAAGGTACCTTGATGAGTCTTGGGTTTGAGCCCAGGTGTTTTCCTGCTGCTAAGCAGAGTTAATTAGAGATGGAAGTGCTGGCAATAAACATGAGACAGAAGTGTGTGGAAAAGCACAGAGCAGTTGTTTTACCTCCAATGAGACAAAGGGAGTGTCCTGCACCTGCAGAGAGATCTGCTCCCCATCTATGGTGAACTTCCTGGAATACAAAGCACCTGGGGGAGAATGAAGATGTCAGTCAGGGACTGCACAGGGAAGCAAAATGACAAAGGAAAGGTAAAATGGGACTGTTGAAATCCAGAGCTCTGAGGTTTAGGATGTGGAGCTGCCTGTAGGAAAATGCCTGGCCTGGAGTGTTGGTGTGGCTGTTTGCTCAGCAGTGGGGCTGTGTTTGCTGTGTGGGGACATGTCCTGAAGGCACAGCTGGGGGCTGGGAAGGGACACTCAGGATTGAGTCACACATTCAAAGTGGGCACATAAACCCCACTCAGGTTTCCAGTCCATATTGTCAACTTTAAATACAAGTGCAGTTCACTTTTATAATCACAAATGAAGACATCCAGGTGTGGTTGGTGAAAGGAGTGAGTGTTTCCTGCTGCATTTTTCTGAATGCCTTTAAAAGCAAGTGCTCCAGTTTTGGACACAGAGTGAGGGATGGTATACAAATCCCCCAGGTGCTCTTTGGGGTTTGTGTGATTTAGAGCTTGGTTGAAATCCCCAAAGACTGGACACTTTAAACCTGACTTTGGTTAATCTGGAGGAGCCAGTTCTACCCACCTAGGCCTGATCTAGCTCTGATCTAACCACCCCTATCCTGGGCTTGAACTTTATTTTGTTACTGCAGCTGAGGTAAATGGCAATGAAAATTGAAGTCTTGGTCTTGTGAACTCTCTGTGGTTCAGGGGTGGTTGTTATCCTCATTTTCCTTTAGAACTTAGCACCAGTCACGTGGGGCTGTGAGGAAATGCTAATCCACAGCTGCTGTGTACAGCCCTTCTGTCCTGCCCCAGCACCATTGTCACTGCTGCCTCCAGAACAATGTCAGACGTGGAGAAATCCACCCACTGGAGAGCCAGGAATTCACATGAACAGGGAGCCCACTAGGGACAGTAATGCCCTCACTTCTGAAAATCAGCTTTGTTTCAAGGAAACAAGTGATTTTATTCCAGTGGAAAAGAGCCTGAGCTCACAGAGCATTTTCAGCACAAGGAAATTCAGCACTGAATCCCACATTATCATGTTGTGGTTTGATACTGTGAGGGGATCCAGCCCTGGTGGGATTTGGTTTGTGTTTAAAAGCAGCCCTGATTTAAAGCTGTAAAGGTGATTTATGAGAAGACACTGCACCCCCAAGACAAGACAGCCCCATGTTCCCATTGCATGATGCCCTGCAGAACAAAGGGCAGGAGCTGCCAGGCAGTGCCCCTGCTCTGCCCAGGGATGCCTGGCACAAGGACAGGCAGGGCTGAGTGATCCCAAGGGCAGTCACTGCCACCTGTTCCTTATTGCTGGAACATTCACCTCTCCTGCAGCATGGCCACGGGCCTGGGAGCTTAATGGGAAAAGCATGTGGCTCCCAGCACTGCTCTGGCAGCCATCACTGCACAGCTCCCAGCTCTCACTTGATGTACAGCCTCCCAGAGAAGAGGTGACACAAGAAAAGGAGCAAAAGTGCAGCCAAGCATCAGGGTTAACCAGGGTCAGGGAGGGGGAGCTGGCAGGAGGAGCTTCCAGAGCGCATTTCCTCAGATCAAAGGTGCCTTGTGCTGCTCCCTCCTCATCCTGAGCTCAGCAAGCATCTCCAAAGTGAAGCATTTTCTGAATTCTGCCCACTTGCACCCCAAAACTGTGAGGTGGCCAATGTATGGGGTGTGCAGTAGGGGTGAGCATGGGGGTACAGTATTTTCCTGGAACAGTTCACATGAACACACCCTCTGGATCAAACAAGGAATGAATGGTTGCTTTGCCTGTCTTGTGGAGAGAAGGTTTCAATTTCAAGGTTTCCCTGGTTATAAGAGCCCCTGAAATAAAGGGAATGCACAGAAAAGGTTCTGAACTGCATTTACACTCCTCAGAATTGCTCTGCCTTCCCTGGGGTTGCAGGGGGAGCAGCATGGGGTTTCCATGGTTTAGTTGATGTGTAGGCTGTTCCTTGAGTCTGTGTTTCACTATAGGTATGTACCCAAGCAAACCTTTTACTCTGATCCCTTTCCATCAACTTGGAGAAAAAAAAAAAAAAACAGCTGAAAGGATCATAAATAATGAGCCTTTGATTTATTGCTTTCATAGCTCAAGGCTATTAACTGAAAATATGCACCTTATGGACATCCAACACCACTTGGCTTCCCTGTAACGTGCAGCAGTCACAAAGCAGACAGGATTTCTTTCCCACTCCCTGCAGGGCTGCTGGGCAGAGCAGAACTCACCAGTGTTGGCTTCGTAGTCCCCAATAAATCTCTTAGTGAGGAAGCGCACGACCAGGGCTGCAAAACAACGACAGAAAGGTGGGTGCTTGGTGAGACAGAGCCCTGAGCACCCTGCACAGCTCCTGGGGCATCCCTGCAGGAGGGAGGCTCACAGGGAGCCAGCTTCACCTCTGCATTGCTCACATGCTGCTCTGCCAGTGCTGCTCTCAACTCTCAGCTCTCACAGACAAAGATCTGGGATACCCAGCACAGAGTTTGTCACAGCTTGTGTTGGAAATGAGCCCTGGGATTCAGGAGGTTGTTTCCCTGTGCTTGCAGGTAAAACAATCTGTCCTTTGCTCTGAAATAATTTAGAAGAGTAACAAGGCAGCAGACTGCAGCTAATCCAGATTTAAGCATTTTCTGTCATGGAAGAAGTGAGGCTGATGGATGGAATGGTTCTTTCCAGGCTTAAAACCTCTCACAAAACCCATTAGTGATATCTAATCACACCCAGCAAACAAACTCCATGTGCTCTGCACTCTTGGGTCATGCTGGAGCACCCTGGCTTCTTATTCACCTTAACCTGAGCTGCTTTCTTAAACTCTTTGATAAGAACATTTTCCTTTTTCTGCATAAAACATTTAAATCCCATCATGGCAACAGTAACTTATACTCCTGTGCTGCTTTGATCTCAATAGACTCCTAGTAACTTGCAACACCACTTAATTAAGAATTAAATAAAATATCTTATTCTGCAAGCAACATTATTTTATAATAGATTTCATTTCAAGCAATAATTTTTCTCACAGTGATACTGAGTCATCCTTTAACATCCTTAAATGAAATTGCCTGTGCAGCTGTCTTTAAGAAACTATTTCAAAATAATATGAAGATGTGGCTGCTTCAAAGCCAAAACAAACATTTTGCTGAATCCCATGGAACCACAAACGTAATAAATCAATCTGCTTTTCATAATTCCTGAAATCATGGACCAGATATTCAACAATTCTCTCTTTACCCTCTTTTCTTCCCATCTCCTTTGGAGAATAATAAAGACACATCTTGTACACTGTGATTTGTCTGCTGAGCATAAAACACTTACAGAAGTGGAGGATAAAATACACTTTTTGGGGTGTGGAAATCTAGCTACAGTTAAATAATTTGCTCAAGAGCAGCTAGAAGCATTTGGGAGTACAAAACTCGCTGCTGGCTCATGTTGGCTTCTCACGCATCTGCAGCAAATCACAAAAATTCTCCTATGCCTTTTCTTAAAAAAAAAAAAAAAAAAAGAAAGTAAGAAAAGAAAAGCAAGTTGAAATAGTTAAGCTGCGGTAAATTTCGCTAGTTTGGGTGTGTCTGGCAGGGAAGGAAAAGGCAAGCGGGGCACACACCTGTCCTTACCTGTCTTGCCCACGCCGCTGCCGCCCAGCACCACCAGCTTGATGATTTTGTTGGGCGCGCAGTCCAGCGCGGGGTACTCCGGGATGGGCAGCAGCAGGAAGTTGGTGGAGTACTGAGACATCGTGTGCTCAGGGATGAGGAGCATGCCAGAAGGGATGGCTGCTCGGCCCGGGCTGCGGGAGGGAAGCAGGAGCGCGGCTCCGCGGCGCCCGTCCTCGCCCGGCTCTGCCGGCAGCCAGAAGCGCTCTCATCCCACTGCAGGCGATCTCCCGAGGAATGCGAGAGCGCCCGGCCTCCCTCAGCCAATGCCTCTGCTCAGACAGCGACTTCGCAGAGCCGAGGGGAACTTTTTTGATCGGCCCCCGTGAAAGCTGATTCCGGCAGCCCGCAGCCAATGGCGAGGGCAGCGGGACATTCCTGCCCCGGCCCCGAGTGGGCCGCGCCTGCCGCCCCTCACAGCTCGCCCCTCACAGCCCTCCCTTCACAACTCTCCCCTCACGCCTCTCCCATCACAGCCGTCCCCTCACGGCTCTCCCCTCACCCTGCAGCCCTTCACAGCCCTCCCCTCACAGCCCTCCCCTCACGGCTCTCCCCTCACAGCCCTCCCCTCACAGTCCTCCCCTCACGGCTCTCTTCTCACGGCTCTTTCTCCCCTCACGGCTCTTTCTCCCCTCACGGCTTTCCCCTCTCAGCTCTCCCCTCGCAGTCCTCCCCTCACGGCTCTCCCATCACAGCCCTCCCCGGGCCTGCTCCGTGCGCTCCCCTGGCCGGCTGCTAAAACCCAGATTTTGGAGCTTTGCAACCGTCACGGGAGCGCTCGGAGCGCGGTGCGGTCACGGCCGTGCTCTGCTCTAATTCGGCTGTGAATAATCCGGTTCTGCCTGTCCGAGTCCTTCGCCCTTTCCGCGGCCCCAGCCCCGCGCTCTGTTGTCCTCCCTGCGCCCTTCATTGTGTGCTGCCCATGAGACCCCGCTCTTCAGGATAATAAACATTTCCACCCCCCCTCAGAGCTTTGGGGCAGCTGTGGGATATTCCAAAATCCCAGCTGACATGCCGTGAATCCCCCGGGATACATTTGATCTGCTGCTTTGTGAGTCCTGAAGGGCGGCTGGAACGTGGGGCAGCGTTGGGGTGGGACCCTGCAGGCTCTGCAAAGGGAATTTGGGGCTGCTGACAGACCGGGGCTGGGCGGCTTCCAGAGGGAAGAATGAGGAGAGAATGGCTTCTCTAGGAAAACTGAGTGGGGTTTTAGGGCAGCTGGCAGGGTCTGTGGGATGACAGCCTGGAAATGAACACTGGCTACAATCAGCTCTCTGGGATAGCGGGGAGGGAAGAACACTGGGGAGGGAGTGACCCAGATAAAGCAGAACTGCATATAATACAAACCAGATGTAAATTAAACTTAAAAAAATAATGTAGTTGGAGCATTCATCTTTGAAAGGCTTCTCAGAAAGGAGCAGAGGCAAGGCTGGGACATGGACTCTGTCAGGCTGTGTGGGTGACCTGGATGGGAATGGAGAGCGAGATAAACTCCCAAAGCTCATGGAGACCTGGGGATGCAGATTCTCTGCAGGCAGGAGATGGGCTTGGCTCGCTCTGGAGAGGCTGCAGCCACCAGAAAGGCTCTCTGTGCCCAGCAGCTCTCATGGGGCTCTCATGGGGACCCACAGCACACGCCTGAGCCCTCCCCAGCAGGCTCCAGAGCCAGGTTGGGCCCCCAGGGGATGGGAAATCAGGGCAGGGCTCTGGATCATTGCCCCTTCCCAAAGCACCCATCCCAGCTTCCACACCAGCATCTCACAGGATGTGAACTGCCCTGAGGAAAATCCAGCTCTGGGGCACAGCAGTGAAATCAGCACAAGAATGCCAAGATTTATGGACATATCTCTTTTCCAAGGTTCTGTTTCCCCTCTGAAACCTCGTTGTGCAGCAGTGTTTGTGCAGTGATGCTCCCAGCATTGTTCCTTTGACCATCCTGGCAGCTGATGAAGAGGAGGAAGAAAGGTCTGGAGGCTGATGCAGCTCATGGAACTGGGAGGGAAATGCTGGATCCTCTGTCTTTTGGGACATGGCTCCTGTGGGAATGGTTTGCAAGTCTTCCAGTGTCAATTTGCTTCCAGGTTTTTGCAAAATCCCAAACACTCATAAAAAAAAATCTTTTCCAGGAAATTTATTTACCGATGTGCTTTAATCTCACACAAGTTTTGTAAGAGGCAAAATGAGAGGAGAAATAGGAAAAAAGCTCAAAATCTTGTGGTCAATTAATAGGGCAGCACTTTGAAATGTGCAGTTGAGCAGGACAGTGATAAATTTGGGATTAGTTAGCAGCAGTAAGTCACTGTCTGCCTGTCTGAGTGCTGGAACCTTTGTTCCCATTTGCTATTAAAAGCATATGTTAGTGAGTAATATAAAACCATTCATCACAATAGTCCTCCTCCAAAACCAAACAGTCATAGATCTGTCAGCTTCTAGGTGGCCACAAGAGCTCCAGCCCAGGGAAAAAAAAAGCCAGATAAGTTCAGAAAGATCATGAAGAATATTCTATATGAGCAAAGACATTCCTAGAAGTAAACAGCTCTGCTGGCTTGATCCAAGAGGGAGGCACGTTCAATTGAAAGAGAAAAAAAAAGTCAAAATTGTTTTGGGTAACCAAATGTAGTGTTGAGGAACACAAAGGGAGTCAGAGGCACATGAGGGTGAGCTTTGGCCTGGATGAATGTGAGGCAGACACAAAGAATGCAAACTGTGCTCAGAGGGTGCTGAGCTTGGATGTGGCACTCAGAAATCAGGAGTCCCAAGCAGGGGCAAGGAGCAGCTGCTGCTGTGTGAGGAGGGACAGGGAAGCTGCTCCATGTGCTTGCAGGGCTGGATCTGCTGCTGACACGGGAGAGGGGATGTGTGGGGGCAGGAATGAGACAGCAATGCTGCAGGAAATGTCAAACTGCTGCTTTTGGTAGCTCTGAGGGCTTCTGGTTGCTTAAAACAAATGTGAAAGAGTTTCAGGCTGCACGTTGGAAGTAGAGCAGTGGAGTTGGAGCTCCTTGGCTGATCTGGTTCAATATGAATTTTTCCTGCACCAGCCCTGGCTTCTTGTGCTTCTCCCCAGATCTTGTTCCACCACATGCAGGAATCTCTGTGCAGAGAGAAGGGCTTTTAGTACAAATAAAAAAGCTGTGCATTCTCCCAGAGTTTTCAATCTACTCCCAAACTCCCCTCTCCTCTCAGCTTGGAGGCTTTAATTCTGAAAGGATTCAAGTAAAATATAGAATCAAACCCAAAGCTGTGCGTTCTCCCAAAGTTTTCAACCAACTCCCGAGCTCCCCTCTCCTCTCAACTTGGAGGATTTAATTCTGAAATTATTCAAGTAAGATACAGAATCAAACCCAGAAGTTTTCAAATGTCCTTGTCTGATTTTCTTGATTGCCAGAGCAGCCTTTTCAGGGAGCAGAAGGATTCACACTCTCTGAGGTTGTGTAACCCTTGGCATGTGGAATAACAATTGTTTTTAAAGGAGATATTCATTGTTTGTGCACAATGGACTTATATTTAGCTAAAAACCCCCATGTTTTACATTCTAATTCTCTTGGAAAAACAATAGCTTAAATTAGAGGGGGAATGTTTGCAAAACTGAGAGCAACTTTGGAAACACTTGGATGGTTCTGGAGGTTTCACTTTACCACCCCTTGGGTTGCTCATGCAAAGATCTGTGCCTTTGCATGGTGCACAGAGATTGTTATTTCCACACCAAATTTTTTACAGATTTATTTACTGCTCTGTGTTGCTTTTGGCTCTGTTTGTTAGAAGATTTTCTATTTATATTGTTATTGGCCCTCCTACACATTTTCAGAGACGAAGCTTGCTAAAAATAAAAGTATTTGCCATGACCATAGTGCCCGTGACAGGAGGATGTCAGAGTGCTTTAAAACTGGCTGTAATTTTTCCTCATGCATTGTACAAAAGGAGTAAGAGATGAGCAGAGCCAGAGAGACCTTGCTAAGGTCCCAGCATGTTGAGGAAATGTTTCTCCATCTGCCTAGCTGTGGCAGAAATGATTTTTTTCCTCCAGAAGTCAATTTGTAGCCATTACATTTGCCTCTGGCACATCTTTTATAGAATATATTGATGTTAGGGGGACTTGGGAGGAGAAACAGGGCTGGTTTTGGAGCAGAAATGGGAAATCTGGCTGTGGGGAAGTGCCAGGGGCTGTGGCAGATGCTGAGACAGAATTTGTGGCTGGTAGCTCATGCACAGACCCCTGAAGTGACTCGAACCAACAAGAATTGGTCCCTGCAGCTCTCTCTGCCCCTCTTTGTGGCAAACTTGGTGCCCAAAGGTCACTTCTGACACTGCATTCAACAGAAATTGTCCTTGAAGCACCTGTGTGCTCCCAGGAACTGAACACCTCCACGCTGGGAAAGGCAAAGGAGGAGGAGATAAGAAAGGATGAAAAATGAGTGTGGTGTGCTCAGGGAACCAGCCTTGGCCTGGGTGCTCAGAATTCCACCTTGCTGAGTTTAGATGAATTAAAAGTGCATCTCTGTGCTCCAGCAGTGACCTCTGAAGACATTCAGGGACAAGACCACGATTTTAGCCCTGTAATTCTACTCAGCACCAAGTTGTTCTGATCCTGAGGCTAAAGGGCAAGGAAATGTCCTCAGATACTGCTGCAGCAGCTGTGATAAATCATCTTTGACTCTATTTTCGGATGTAAGAGAGGTGAACATTTAAATACACACTTCAATCTGGTCAAACACTGCACAGCTTCCCCAATTCCTTCATTTCCTGTCCCTAATTTTAAAGCACTGCCATTCATGGCAGTCCTGTGAGGAGCACGTGGCCCTTTTCACTTTGGGGATTTTTGGGAAGGATTGGGGTTTTTGTGCTCCTGGGGCCTGTCCCTGGGGAGGATGGAACAGATGACTTGGGAAGCCCAACATGGGTAGGAGATCTCTTCTCTGCAGGCCAGCAGCTCAAACAGAATGGAAACATCTCAGCCTCATAAAAAAGTTCCTGCTTTGGAAACAGAACAGTTCACCCTTCCCCACAGATATTCCCACAAGGTCAGGGCTGGAGAGTGGAAACAGCCCTGGCAGAGCTGGGACTGTGAGCAGGGAGCTCCCAGTGCCCTCACAGGCACTCCCACAGCTCGTGGGGATGAGGGGAGGCTGCAGCCTCCAGGCTGGGCACACCTCTGGGTCAGGATCAGCCCCATCCCCAATTTCTGCCCGTTCCTCACTGCTTCCCAGGGCTGTTCCTTCTGAGGTGTGTTTGCTTTCACTGTGCCCTGCAGGATGGGCTCTGTGGTGCCTCAGGAACGTTTCCCACTCCTTCTCCCACAGGATTGACAATGGGCACTGTTGTCATTCACAGAATCACAGAATCCCTGGGTTGGAAGAGACCTTCAAGACCATCGAGTCCAGTCCAGTCCCAGCACCTCAGCCAAACCCTGGCACCCAGTGCCACATCCAGGCCTTGTTAAACACACCCAGGGATGGGGACTCCACCACCTCTAGTGGTGGATGAGATTGGGAATGGGAACAGGACCAGGATGGGAATGGGACCAAATGAGTCCAGAACTTTCTCACCTTTCCATAAAAAACTTTTCCTAATATCCAACCTGTATTTCCCTTGGCACAGCTCAGGCTGTGTGCTCTGGTTGTGTCAGTTCCTGCAGACAGAGCCCAGCCCCAGCTGAGCACAGGCCCCTTTCAGGAGCTGTGCAGTGATGGGGGCACCCCTGAGTCTCCTTTTCTGCAGGCTGAGCACCCCCAGCTCCCTCAGGGGCTCCTCTCAGGGTTTGTGCTCCCAGCCCCTCTCTCTGGATGTGCTCAGTGTCCCAAGGTCCTTCCCAAGCTGAGGGGCCTGAGCTGGGCACAGCACTCAGGGTGTGCCCTCACAGTGCCAGGGACAGGGGCACAGTGACCTCCCTGCTCCTGCTGGGCACAGCTCTGGGTCAGGATCAGCCCCATCCTGAATTTCTGTCCATTCCTTGCTGTTCCTTCTGAGCTGTGTTTGCTGTCACTGTGCCCTGCAGGACGAGCTTTGTGATGTCTCAGGAACGCTTCCCACTCCTTCTCCCACAGGACTGACAATGGATTGACAATGGGCACTGTTGTCATTGCAGTGCTGAGCTCTCAAAGAGCCCTTTTGTCACCATGCTAGAGCAGGGACATGTGGTGTGGAACAGCAGAGGATCCCTGGGCAGCACCACTGTCCCACCCCATCCCAAAATCCCGCAACCTCTGCAAGGAGTCTTGGGAATCACAGAGTTCCATGGGCACCTCTGAGGGTTCTGGTGCTCTGCGCTGGCCGTGGTGTCCCTTGGTGGTGTTTTGGTGACACCCCCAGTTCCCAGCCCCAGCCCTGTGGGACAGTGCCTTCCTCCAGTGTCACAGAGCCCTGGCAGTGCCCAGCCCAGTGGGGCCTCCCTGAGCCCCAGGAACCACGGGATATCCTGAGGGAAGGGGAGCACAAGGATCATGGAATCACAGACCCACAGAATGTTATGGGCTGGGAGAGACCCCAAAGCCCCTCCAGTGCCACCCCAGCCATGGCAGGGACACCTTTCCCTATCCCAAGCTGCTCCAAACCCCAATGCCCAGCCTGGCCTTGGGCACTGTCAGGATCCAGGGGCAGCCACAGCTGCTCTGGGAAAACTGTTCCCCATAATGATCCCAATCCCATCCCGATCCTTTTCCCATCCCTGTCTGTTCCCAATCCTGTTCCCATCCTGATCCCATTCCCATTCCCATTCCCATTCCCCTTCCCATTCCCATTCCCAATCCGATTCCCATCCTTGTCCCCGATCCCATTCCCAATTCTGTTCCCATTCCCGATCCCATTGCTATTCCCATCCCTTCCCATTCCCATGCCTGTTCCCGATCCCGTACCCAATTCTGTTCCCACTCCCAATCCCATTCCCATTCCCGTTCCCATTCCCAATTCCATTCCCCATTCCCATTCCCGATCCCATTCCCATTCCCATTCCCATTTCCGTTCCCATTTCCATTTCCCATTCCCCATTCCCGATCCCATTCCCATCCCTGTTCCCATTCCCATTCCCCATTCCCATTCCTGATCCCATTCCTGTTCCCGATCCCATTCCCATTCCCATTCCCATTCCTGATTCCCATTCCCATTCCCATTCCCGATCCCGTTCCCCAGCCGGTTCCCCCGGACCGAGCACGCCTCGGAACGGTGGTTTCGCGGCGCAGGCGGCGCTGTTTCGGCGGCGCACGGCCCGGGCCGGTTATCGGGTGCGCAGCTGGCGCTGTCAGTCGCGGCCCAAGATGGCGGCGGCCGGGGGCGGATGGAGGCGCTGGTGACGGTGCGGAGACTCGCCGCCGTCTGTACCATGGTGAGAGCCCTGGGGCCGCTCGGCCCGCGCCGCCGCTCCTCGGGGGCTCCCGGCCTTGTGCCCTGCGCCGAGCGGCGGGGAGAGCCCGCGCTGCGCGTCCCGGCACCGTGCGGGCAGTTCAGAGCCAGCGCTGCGGGAGGCCCCGCCGCCGGCTCCGGGCTCGGAGGGGCCGGGGCGGAGCGGCTGTGCCGGGGCAGGGCGAGCGGAGCGCGGGGAGCCGCGGCCGGGCTGAGCGCGGGTGCCGGCCTGGCCGGGGCTGGCAGGGCTTTGGGATAATGGGGTGAAATCCCGGTGGGAAAGCTGCCGGAGGCTCGGCAGGAACGCGAGCCCGGCAATCCCGGTGGGTGTGTCTGCGCCGCCCGTGCCCTGAAATGTTTCTCGGGCCGGTGGGTGCTGCCTTTCGCGGAGAAAAGGAATTATCGAGCATTAATTGGCCTCGTGCCCGGGTCGTGTCGGGTTGTTGTGATAACTGAGTTCATTTTAAAGCTCGTTCTACTCGTTTGTCAGTGCTCTGCAGTGGCTCCACGTGCATGCGTGTACCGGGACCGTCCCTGCCGCCAGCCGGGCAGAGAGGCAGGCTGGTAATTGCATGATTATGCAGAATTCTTAATGAAGCTCCGCTGCTGTGTAAGTAGAGCCCGGAGTGGCCGGGCTGGCGCTGGGCACGGCTGAAATATCTGAGCCCGGCCGTGAAACAGCAGCGCTGAGCTCACAGAACCTTCTGGGAGGAGCTCCGTGCTCCGAGCCCCGGCTGCAGGGGGTGCCCACTGGAGCAGTTCGGTGTTCACAGTCCCTCCTTTTCACTGCTCAGCTTCCCTCTCCCTGTGCAGCCTCCACACCGGTCACTGGCTCTGTTTCACCTGTGTGGGACAGGAACAGGATTTTCCTTCTGTTCCATGCAGGTGCTGCCTCCCAGTGTGAGTCCAGGCCCAGCTGAGCTGAGCCAGTACAAACTGACCAAAATGCCCAGCTCCAAACTGAGCACTTGCAGCCTCACACCCTAACAGGAGGCATTAATCTTTGCTTTTCAAACCCCTGGCCTTGGAGACCTCCCTGGAAAACTTCCCAGGATTTATCCTTCCCTAATCTCACCAAATGGGGTTTTTTCCTACATAATTTATATTTTTAATTGCCATGGCAGACCCAGTGAGATGAAGGCCATGAGAGGTGAGTCAGGAATTTGCTGAGGAGTTCTGCACCCAGGGGCAGAGATTGACTCAGTCCCTGGAATATTTTGGGTGCATTCCTGGGAGCAGCTGGGACAGGGAAGGCAGAGCATTTCCCTGGGACTCTGCAGCCACACCTGAGCACATCCCTGTGGGCTTTTGGCATTTTTGCTCCTGATTTTGGTTGGGATGGGGGGTGGAAGCTGGGCAGGTTCCTCCCATTCCCCTCCTGAGGTTCTGGGAGTTCTTTTCTGAGAACTGCAGCAGATTCTCCCCATTGTGTTTCGTGTGGAGAATTTGTTGTTTCAGTTCTGTGCAGAAATAATTGCATAAAACTGTCCTCCAAATTTCTTAATTAGTCATTTAATCAAATGCTGTGGGATCTGTCAGCATCAGTGTTTTAGGTGCATGTGTAGCTTGGCTAACTTATGGTCAATATTAACATTTATTCTCTCATCTACCCAGGAAATTAAGGTCTGGGTGCTGGATTTTAGAACTGGATCAGTTTATTTGCATGTCCAGCAAGTAAAAATACTGTTAAAAAAAAAAGGTAGATGAAAAAGCTGAGCCTTTTTTTAAAAACATTGAAATACATGAACAAAGTCCCTTTGGGAGCTGCTTTCTCCAGGATTATGTTAAAGTGGAGTGATTGTACAGAACTTTACATATTTTTTTTAGTAAAATATGCAGTTTTTACCAGCATTTCCAGTCAGCATCTGTGTTCCAGGCTAGAACAGTGAAACCCAGGTTTGTGACATTGTCAGACCCTTCAGCATCACAGGGACTGCTGTTCCTGCTTCTCAGGCACCCCATTCCTCTCCAATGTCTCTCTAAAAATGAAATCCCAAGCTTGAGTTCATTCCAGCCAGTGATGAGGCTGAGCTTGGATCATCTCCCCTCCCTGAAATCACTTCTGGAGGATCAGCTCTGCTGTGCCTCAGGGTGGTGGCATTTCCTTGGTGGGAGCACCGTCCCTTTCCCAGGGTTTTGATGCCTCAGGTTTGAGCTTTTCTGTTTTTCACATTCTGTGCTGCTTTAGTGTGTGAGTCTGGGTTCATATTATGGGATGGTGAGCATAGGAGACAAAACAATTCCTGCTCCAGCTGGGACCAAGGACAAATGATCCAAATCTCAGCCCAGGAGCACAAACACTGTGGGCTGAGAGAGAAAAACAAGGATGGGACTGCATGGGCTAGAGCTGGAATGGGATAATGAACTGCAAGATGCAAATGGAGCAGAACTGATCACAGTGAGAGACCCCATGAGCAGTCAGGGATTTTGTGACCATTTTGGTTCATCTTGGGTGCAGCCCTGGCTGGGCTCTTGTGCTGCCCAAGGTGCATCCATTGAAGAGATCCTTTTAATAAATCCCTGCTTTATTCTTTATCTCTGTCCAGCCTCTGCTCAGCTCAGCCTTCCCAAGGCCTCAGTTTCACCTCATCCCTATGGCAGCTCCAGCCTGGCCAGAGCTGGGAGGGAGCAGGGGTTGTTCCCTGGGATGTGATTCCTGGCTTGGGGAGGCTGTGGCAGCACGGGGGAAGCACAGCCATGGCCAGGAGCCACTGCCCCAGCTCTGCCTCCCTGGCACCAGCTGTGTGTCCCAGCCTTTCCCTCTGCCCTGGGCTTTGGGGTTTTTCCTTCTGTTTGCAGGGAGCTGCAGGATTGAGGGAAATGGCTGCAGAGTGGAAACAGAGAGCACTGCTGAGGCATTTTGCTTAAAAAAATCTACAGCTGCTGTTTCAGAAGTGTTTAAAGAGGGGTCTGTGGGTCTGGGCTGAACAGGTGTGTCCTGGTCCAGGGCAAATTTGGGAGAGAACCTCCAAAGGGGCTCCTCTAAGAAAGCAGATTGAATTGGCCCCTCCCCCCAACCAGTCCAGGAGAAAATACCTCCTTGGAGAAAAGTGGAAAAAAACCCACAGTCCAGGGAACTTCTTTGCCTCAGCTAGCTAAACCAACTAAAAGCAAAGGAGAGCTCTGTCCCACTGTCTGTCCCTCTGCAGACAGCACAGTCCAGGAGCAGGAATGTGGAGGAGGGAGTCGCCCAGTGTGGGGCACGTGTCAACCTAGGACAAGGTGGGAATCCTCTCTTGGCTGAGGAGAGTGAGGAGGGCAGAATCCCATGGGTCTGACTGCATCCTCTGACCCAGGATGTGTTTGCTGTGCTCTGAGGCAGTTGTAGAACTGAGTTTCTCAGTCAGAACTTGAGGATTTTGTTGAATTGACAGAACTTTTGGAAGAGCAGACCAGAACTTGAGAAGGGAGCAAGGTGCAAAGGCCAGAGCTGGGATTTTCCTTCCTGGCAGCTTGTGAGGAGTCTGTAGTGAGCTGTGAGCAGAATTTTGTTTCTTGTAGGCAATTAGGGCCACTTCCTCTGGATTCATGTCTAATTGTTGGTCAAACCAGTAGGACATGCCTGAAGAACTCCAATCCAGGCTACAAATTGGGGGCAGCCTTACACACTCTGAATCAGGACATAATTATTGACTTCAGTGCTGCAGGGGAGGCGGCTGCAGCATTTGTGAGTGCCACATTTCCATTTGCCACCTGAATAATTTACACTGGGCAGCTCAAGCAGAGCTGTGGTGTCCCTGGTGTGGAATGTCACCTCCCTGCTGTCACCTGTAGCTGTAGGACTTTGCTTTGGCTCTATCAGAGAATTAACATTTATAGCTTTTATTTTTATCACTGCAAGAAGGGAGGGTGGAGCTGGCTAAGCAGATTTCTGTCTCCAGCAGTGCTCTGCTTCTTGACTGACTTTTTAAGCTGAAAGAAGCCAAATATTCATCTTTGCACTTAGAACCCAGCCTGAGAATAACTGAGAATAATTGTTTTGGGGGGAAAAAAAATACATAACCCTTTACAAAGCAGGGAGGAGGTCACTTCACGGTTTTCCCACATGCTGTTTGTGTTGTGGTTTAATGCTGTGTGTGATGGGCGTTTGCTGCTGCACATTTGGGGCTTCTGACAGTTTGGGGCTGGAAGCAAAGGAGGCCACAGTTCAGGGGGACCACACAGGTCCCCTTGGAATGAGCTTTGGGATTTTACAGGAATCCTGAACACCTGAAGGAGCTTTTGTGCTGTTCTGGTGCCTGCTTTGATTGTCTATAAACTTCTAAAATGTCATTCTTTAATGACATTTCTCTCAGGAAAATGAGAGATCATGAGAGCTCCCAGCTGTGTGGTGCCATGGGCACTCCATGGTTCATTTGTTCAAAGTAGACACTGATTATATTAGAGGACTTCTGCTTCAGTTCATGTAAAAATGAAGTGTGAATACCTGGAGAAGGATGCAAAAATAACAGAGTGTAGCTTGTTCAAGATGTGCTCTGTTACTCAATCTCTGTTGTTTGGTTCTAGAGCAAATGCTTTTATTGCCTTGGAATTAATCTGTTTACATGCACATCACTTGCTGTCTTTTTGCCATTAAAAAAGCAATGGTTTTCAGTGCTTGCTCCAGCAGATGTCAGTTTGGGGGATTCCTGCACTTGCTGCCAAAATAAAGGGCAGCACTGTGCATCATTGTGGTTTGTTTGTGTGTTGTATTTTCTATTTTCAGCTCCTTTTATAGTGAACACTTAAAGTGGGCTTGTAAAACAGATGGGGAGAAACTTTGTTGTGAAAGGACAAGAGGGAATGGTTTTAAATGAAAAGTGGGTTAATTTAGACTAGAAAGGAAGGAATTTTTTTCCATTAAGGGTGGGCAAGCACTGGCACAGGGTGCCCAGAGCAGCTGTGGCTGCCCCTGGATCCCTGGCAGTGCCCAAGGCCAGGCTGGACAGGGCTTGGAGCAGCCTGGGACGGGGGAAGGTGTCATGCCCTGGCAGGGGGCGGCAG